TCCTGGTGACTTTAAGGGAAATTAAAATGAAATTTCAACTGTTTTAATTATTTAATACGATAGACTGTTATCGGCAAGCGTCAAAACGGTCAAGAGTGATGAAAATGGATTACGAAACGATAACGAAATTAATTTCGAATGAATTCGCGTGTGTAATATGTTGTTTCCTGGATGGAATTCGTGGATCTTCTCGTCATATTTACTCCGAATTACGCGCAATAATTCGGATTATTGAATGGAAACCGAATGCCGAATGTAATAAAATTAGAATAACTAAGATAATTTCACTCTCGACTCTGAAATTTCACCTTTCATATTTGTATGTTTGCGTTTTATCACTCCACTTTTCCCGCTAGAAATTTGATGGAAAAGTTTTTCCCGAAAGCCGTTATGTCTCAATACAGGAATTACTTTTATTCGCTGTCTCTTTCGTTCTTTCAACAGTTTTAGGTGTGGCACTGATAAATTCTTTCTGACGGGCGTAGTCGAGACATTAGAAAAGGTCGCTTCATCATAATTTCATCTCGGACATCGATTTCCTCTTTTCTCTCCGGGCAGCTCTTTAATCCTTTCATTTTGTTATTTCACAAATCCGGCCGTAGGGCGATCTGCCAAGCGGGGAGTGAATCCCAGGAAGACTTTCGAGGGAAACTGACCACTATGTAAGAGTTAGACACGCGAATAAAACGGGAAAACACGCCGCCAGCTCGTTTCTGAGGCGCGAACCCACGACTACCGGTGTTTCGAGGCTTTATCCACTAAGCGACTGATGGGCAAATTTCTGCTTATTTCTTCAATGCGAGATCAATTTAAATGTAAATTATATTCTTTAAAACAAACGTGATTTATACTATAAAGTATTTTATTTTTATCATTTTCGAGGTGTTTGTTATAAAGTCCCGCGTTTACGGTGGCGCGTATCCTACGGATAAAAAGAACAATTGCCTGGGGTCCCCACCAACAGGGGCCCCAAATCAATCCTTTATAAGAAAATATCTCCACAAAAATATTCCCTCGAAAGAAAAATTTCTCGAGTCAACACCGTACGCGATTCTTCTAATTCGAATTTGCCTGGATCTCGTGAAATTATAAACTCGCCACTGTGTGTATACGTCATTATCGCACTCTCCACACCCCTAATGACACCGCTGATGTATATATATATATAATAAAGAATAAATTGCATTTTCGTACCAATAATCTCATCACTGAAAGTGAATGTTTTTTTATTATTTTCTCGAGTAATAAATCTAAAGAAGATGATCCAATATGCTTAACTAATCCAAATAAATTGATTATAAAACACGCACTTAACGAAGATAATGGGAAAATATTGTATACGTCAAGAAAAATTTGAAAAAATATTCTCAGTTCTAGTACCTAAAGCTTCTGTGGAATATAATTAAACTGCTAATCGATTATTTTGTATGATAAAATGGTAAAAACAGTACAATAAAGTTTTGTTTCTTTGAATTTATGATTTTTATTAACCTTCTAATCGACGAACAAAGGAAATTTATGTTACTGCCTGTACCGTGCCAACATATTTCTTATAAATATTACGTTTAACATTATAAAATTTGTCTTATAATAAGCTTGATCAAGGGGTGCGTAGCCTGGACCAGCTTTACTACAGCTGTATAAGAAAACCAATGATGTGTCCATTTTAAACGAAAACGGGTTATGCCATTAGTTTGCTTATTCGGTTTGCATTTAATGGTAAAGAGTAAGGTAAAGAGGCTCTTCGATGATAAAGAGACTTTAACGCAGGAAACAAGCGGCTAAATAAGCGAACCAATGATGTAGTCGGATTACGCCGTTGGTTTACGTACTTAGCCGCTTGTCTCTTGTCTCGGATTTTATTTTCCTATTACAAAAAATCAAATTTTATAAATGTATAATAACTTTTTATACGTTAATTGAGACGAATACGTTGTAAGTGGAATTTATTTCGAGAAGAGAAACATATAAACTCTTCCTTCTCGGGTTTANAAACAGTGTCGTAATTCGCCAAGTGCAAATCAGCAAATTCGTAAAATTTTTGTTTATTTTGAACAATCCGGATAATCGAAAATCCGGATAATGGAGGTCCGGATAATGGAGGTTCTACTGTATCTGAAATTTGTAGCGTCTTGCCCCCGTACTTCCCACTTTTCCCCATAACAATAAGGCGGTGCCGGTCATCCGCGTAACTCCGTTCTGGGGAAAATATTTGAATCGAAATTACTCGACTTCCGGTGTAGTTCGGAAGGTCATATATAATTAATCGAGTCCTCCCGCTCCCGAGCTTTCCACATCTGGTCTCGACTTTCCCCTAATACCGTTCTCGAGATTAAAGAAAGACGGACGGACGGACAAAAGTGGGAATTTGTCCGCATTTTTTTCAAATTTCAGCCCAATTACTGTATTCCCTGTGTGTAATTTCGCAACAAAATACGGCTCAAAACACAACAAAAAGAATCTGTACGGAAGGGCTACAGACCGTATCGTTCGTTGCTTTTAGTCGTATATACCCGGTAATCCGGCATCCTTCCGCGCCAGGATCGGCCGGATTGGCGAGAGTCTACTGTAATAATCTATATAACGTGGAATATTGCCTATCGTTGCAGCTTTATTATTTATCGATTGATTTATTTAATGTATTAAGAGCCAAACCTTTTCTCTTAATAACTTTCGTGAGAGCATTTTGATGCCATTTGTGTTCCTTTAATGGGATTTCTACAACGTAAAAAAATTATCGGAAGCAATTTTATTAATTATGGATACATCTAATAAAGGATTATTTTAATTTAGCTTCCGTTAATCCGAAGAAATTTCCTATTTTACCCTTTGCCAAAATGGGTCCCAAAAATGACTCCCCCTCGGGAATTTCGCATTTTTTGAATTGAAACGTCGAGAACTTTTAAAACATTCGGAGTTGTTTTCTGTATGTATAGGTGTGTTGGGAGCGCACGATTTTCGTTCACCCAATTTGAAGCTTAGTAACTCTCGTGACTTTTGTCGAAATTTTCTGAAATTTTGCAGGGAGATTTGGGTATTAGGGAGATGGATGCTGTTTTATTTTGGTAGTTAAAGGTCGCGCAGGTGGGGAGATAGAGAGAATCGTGTGTCGTGTCGTATCACGCGAGAGGTGAAACTTAATGAAAAGTTTACTCGTTATTAGCGTTATCGTTATAAATTTTTTTTAAAACACCTCTACCCCCAAAGTAAGCTTTTTACCATTTTATAATAATTAATAATATAAAAGAAATTTGTTTATTAAAATCTCGAGAGATGGCGGCACACACAACTTTAACTCTCGCTGGGAAAGCTACGCAACTCGTTGCTGGATATGTTCATTTTATTAATTAAAATAACTAAGATTTCGATGTAATTTTTAAATATTATGTGGGAAATTTAACGGAAAAAAATCTTTAATGCCATTTATTTATAATATGTAATATATATATATATATATATAAAGAAAAATGTCAGCTTAGAAAACGATTGATGCATATTATACAATAGGAAGCAAAGCGAAAAAACTCGATCAAACGGCATAAAAAAAGCAGATAAAATCGAAATGTTTGGAAATTGTGTTCCTTATTCAAACAATGTCCAATTCATTCCCTTCGTACATTTACATTCCTTATTCATTTGGAGGCAGAAAATCAAATTTGCAATACATAAAAAAAGAATAGAATTTTATTTGTTTCGGTTCGGGCGTGCAAAAAGAACGAGAGACGCTTTCTGCCCGAGTGTTAGAGTCAACGTAGGGCACATAAACATCACGTGACAATGACGTTACGCCGTGACTTACGTCAGCGAGCGTGTCAATGTGACATTGGCCGCCAAGCATTTCCATCTTCAAAGATCTACTTTGGATAATTCAATCTCCTATTCGCTGCAGCCAACAAAGGAGCATTGCAAGGTTATCTTTTTACGTCCGAATGCAATCCCAACGTAAATCATTATATAGGTGACTTCTTCCATTCCAATGCAAATTCTTTTTTATAGCCTTCGAGAGTTCTCGCTTTCCGCTAATCTTTAAACAGAAACGTTTACGGGGAGGGAAATTCGCGACTCTTTTAATCCTCCGAAAATAGGTAAAATTTCTAAAATTAAGCGGCAGGATTTCATTAAATCGAGATAAATTCCCAATTTAATTTCCTTCCAGATTATTATGATAAAGCCATTTCCAGAAAGCGAATCACGTGGGACGTTCTGTCATTGTCACAAACAACCGTTAGAATAATTCCCTTAGATTTACTTACGCAAACAAAAAAATTAATAAAATAAATCTCGAAATCTGAATCATAAATTTTTAAAATTTCATCATTTAATTACGGATATTTAAAAAAAATTACCTTAAATAAACACGGACTTCTCGGTAAATATATCAAATAATTCACTTATATTACAGTATTTACTTTAATTAATTAAGTAAACGTCTAATTATTTATATTATGATAATAAGTTTTGAAGTTTATTTTCCAATTTAAAGTAGTAAAATAGCATATTTATTTACCGAATTTAAGAAAAGAAATACTCTCATTGAAATTAATATTGTAGAACCCGTCTAAAAAGGACAAAATCATTCGGCACCGCGCCTATCCACTTTACGCAGATTTTACTGCGTAAATTTAAATACAGTAAAACTTGTGTAAACTGGAATCGCGCGATACCCAATATTTTTTCCGTTTTGGCAGTTTCCGTTTTAAATAGGTTCTTTATTTAACACAGAAAATCGCTCCGTTCCGAAGAACTTTTTCCGTTTAGGAAGGTTTCCTTTTTATTCGGGTTCCGTTTTGGAGAGATTTTACTGTAATAATTTCGTAATTTTCCACTTAGAAATTGAGCAGTGAAAAAAATAAATTCATTGTTGACGATTTAAGACCGACAATAAAAAAAAAACTTGAAACGGACGGTAAAACAGTTTATTGTTTGCAGGATAAAATCGATACAAAAAGAAGAAAAAAAAGAAAATTGTTTTACAAAACAAGAGACTAAACTTTGCAATAAAACATTTATTGTATTTGAATAAATTTTTAGACCGAATATACATCAGCGAAAGATCATAAATCACAATACACGAACAATAGAAATGAAAGAAAGTGCTTTAAATTAAGAAAGTGAAAAGGCGTGAGTGATAACTGAATGGACGTAACACGTCTAGTCGTATAAAATGCTGTCGAAAATTTGTTTCCAACAATTGACGATACCGCTATTTACAACCCGATAATTGTTCTGTTAATTACCTCAATCAGTGGGTTTTGTATTATTTCTACAAGTATTTTTTATGGGCGAGTACACCGCTGGGGAAGACTTTTTTTATTTTTTGCTCGTGTTTAAACCTACAAACTCGAGTAATTCGTAACTTTTCCCAGACATTTTTTAAAAATTTGTAATGAAATAATCCACCAGTTTCATTTGTTTGAATTTTTCAGTTTAAGTAGGGACGTTCCGAACAGAAATTTTGTCGTTTTGTAAAAATACGTGGACAAAAACCAACTTTTTTAGTAACTTTATAAATGTCTTTTCGAGTGGCAAAACATTAACGAGATGGTCCCAGAATGTTTCTTCATTTTAATTCTAAATATAATTATATTTTAAAAATACTACAAGATTTAACTTCTAAATACTATAAATGTACAGTTTTTCTCACTTTAAAGCGTAATTTTAAACACAATTTTTGATTTTTCGAAGACGTTTCGAGTAGTAATTATTGTTTTTAAAGATATATTTATATTATTTTCGGTGATCTAAATTAAAAAAAAAATTCGACTTTTTAAATTCAGATCAGACGGGTTTTATTATAGAAAATAATTTTGTTTCTATTGCCACCGATTGATTGTCCTTCTTAAACGAGGGATTTCGGAATTTAGAGGCACTTGGTGGCACGACGCAGAATAAATGCTACCTGGAAATAGATATATTTTGCTTCGTTCCTTCGGACAGTTCGTGTACGTCCTCCCCTTGTACCGGTTCTTCCCAAAACGAGACCACAGTTTTGGAACCACGCTTCAACCTCCCGTTTTGATTCAATAGTTCCGGTACGTGCATAACGGCTGCGGTCACAAAAGTCACTTGGCTATTGTTCCTGGACGTTCTCCTAGAGGTCAAAGGTGACGCCGGTGACCCACACGTGTCCGATTTTTCTCCTAGAACCTTTAGATCCGAGGAAGAATCTCTCGAAAACAGAGACGGCTTTTCACGATTCGGAATGTCCAAGGTAACGGAACGATATCTAAAAATAGCAATATAACGATTTGTCGTCTTAAAAGTCTGGAAAATTTTTCTCTAGAAATTAATTTAATTGAATTAACTATAAATATATCAGAATTGGATGGTTTTCGATTATAATTAATTCTATAAATTTGCTGTTTATAATTAAATATTCGTGTAAACATTGGCTGTTTTCATATTAATGGCTCGGACACTTAATTGATATAGCTCTAAATAAATTAATATTCTTCATAAAATTCGCATAAAGCGCGCCATATTTCCATTACAGTTATTATATTTATAGGAAACGAATAACAATTCTGCGCATAAATTCAAATTCGAATATTTTAATTTATTTTCTAAATATTTTTCACGGCATTAAAGTTATAGAGGCGAGTGAAAAGTCCCTCGCACCTTTTTCATTTTAAAAGCCAACCCTTTAAAGGTCAACGAGTACTTTTGGAATGGAGAAGGTGCGAGGGACTTTCCGCTCACGCAGTATTAATTATTTATTAATATAAAACTTGTGAGATTTACTTTATTAAGACTCGGCGCGTGTCGAGATTTTCTTCGAATTGTTTTCGAGGTAGAATACCTCTTTCGACAATATTCTAGCCAAGTTCTTTAAATATTTAAGAGCTAGTTCATATTTTTATTACCCTTTTTTTGTTTTAAACTTTAAAGAAAGCGATGGAAATGTATTTTAGTAAGTCTACTTCACATTTAACAGCAATACCCATTCGAAATTGAATATTTGAAGAAACCGAAGAAGGCGGCAGGAATACTAAAATCCATATTTCTTCAAAACAGTATTTTCGGATTTGACTTCAATCATTCTCAACACGTTTTAACGTTTTCAACAGTTTTGCCTTCGATTTTTCTACTCCAGATTTCCACAAATCTCAAAACGAAAACACGCGCATTTCTATTTGATCGCGGGTTAACTGTTATTGCTGTAATTAAGGTGACGTCTTCGCAATAACAGGCTACAATTTTTAATTATCTTTTAATTTAAAGAAATCGCGTGATTTCCCGTCCAAACCGGAATTTTGTATATAGTTAATCGGGGTCTCCACCCCTAAGCTTTTCGCGTCCGTTCTCGATTTTCGTGTAGATAAATATCGAGACGGGCAAATGGCAGCCCCCTAAAATAAGGAACTTACCCCGCTTGCAAGCGACGGAGACGATCGCGTTTGCGTAAACGTTGCGCTCGGTACCTGAGAGCGCAAATAATGGCAAACGTGATTATAGGAAAACTGATGATGCAAGACAGAATCGGAATAACGATCGGTCGAGGATCCAATGACAGCGACACTGTAAAGAAACAATAGAATTAACAAAAGAAGTTCATTATAATTTACATCGAAGGGTTTACTTAATTAAATAAAGCGGAAAGACTCCAATGTTAAATAAAACAGATATCCCGACTCCATGGTACAGAAGTAATTCGAGTCGAATTTACAGACATTTACAATGTATTCGATAAAAGATTTCCCGGAAATTAAAGATGCGCTTCGCTTGTCGTCGCTTCCTTAAACGTTATAAATCCCAGGTGCCGCGGTTCCATATAACGCCAAACTGTCATAAAATCGTCTTTATGTGTACACGTTCGATAAAGGTGTTTTAATTTCGCATCAAATTTATACATTTAGAGTATTATTTAACGCTTCTATTTACTTTTCTCGGTATCGTGCCCCGGAATTTCATCGACTTCGAATCCGATGACGTTATCCGAATGATGTTTTAAGGTGCGGCCCACTCCACATCCGACAGACAACCAAACGTGCGGGTGGTGTAGCATTTTAGCCACGTATAGGTTGGGGGCTCGACCCCAGCGGCCTCCACTCCAGTATAAAAAACGTGACCAATAAAAGCTTCTAAACTTAAATTACGCGCCAAATAATACGGTAAAAACCTGTCCAAAACGGAAAAAATATTCGTTGTCGCGCCATTCCGGCTTACGCGGGTTCTACCGTACGCGCTCGAGCTATTATTATAAAACGTCTCCGCATTAAAATGTTTTAGGAGTTTTGTATCGGAGATTTGGCAGAGAGCCGCCTAAATTTATTATAAAAACATTTTTACTTAAATTTTATACCTGGTTTCGTCCCTCAAGGTCAATTTATTGTAACGACGTTGGTGGTGTGTTCGTTTATTTTTCTTTCCGGGTGAATTTTCAAAGTGTAATTTCAATTACATTACCACTTGGCGTATTTAAATAAATAAAAAAGAAATTAGAATGGTTATTGAGAATTTTTTAAAATTTATTACAAAAATTACTTTACAATAAAAAATTGAATGGAATTTTTTCTGCTCCTAATAAAAATTTTCAATGGACGCAGGAGCCTATATTTGTCGCAATTCATCTTGGTCTGCACCCTTTTTTCCTCCCTCCTCGTTCTTCCTTTTAAGTAATTTCGTCTTCACTTTTTTATTTTCTTATTTTTTCTCCATTTCTTAAAGCAATTTTAACAGAAATTATCGTTAAATATATTATTATTGCGGAAGAATTCGATATAATTTAAGTTTACTCGAGATTCTTAAGAGTCACTTCTAGAGCGAAACCATTACGAACATCCCTTTTTGTTTTTTACTTCACCGAAATAGAAATTTCAGGAAGCTTAAAATAAAAGTTTCACGCGGAAGAAGAAGCAAAAGACTGGAAACTCTTTGGTAATTCATTTTTTTTATTTTTATTTTATTCAAGTTTTAATAAACTTGCTGGAAACTTGTATAAATTCCAATCCCGGTTGCAATCGAGTCAACACATTTGTAAAGTGTTTGCTAAAGTGAATTTAATCTCTCGCTACTTATTAATGGCGCCTTCGAAATGTTACAGATATTTGTAGATAGGTCTTCAACCTTTCGTTATAACGCAGCAACCCTTCGTTTAACTTCCAAAATAATATTTATATTTCACTTTGGCGCGCTCTCATTACGTGCAACGGGAGTCAAAAATTTTTATTTTTACTTTTATCTCCGTATCGAGGGGTGGAGTAATACTTGTAAAAAAGTAACTAACGTCGTTTCTCCCATCATTTCACTGGTTTTTTTACGTTTATTCCACGTCCCCCCATCGATTTTCCATTTCCACCATACAATCGCTACATTTTTTTTCCATTTTATAAAGTGATAAGAGAAATATTTCTCGTTATAAAATTTTTATGCTGCCGAATTGATAAATTATTCCCGTCGAGGATGTAATCTTCATTCTTTTACTAACTACTAAAATATTTGTCGAGAAGGAAAACCCGCGGCACCCCACGGACGCGCTCTTCCCCTTCTCCCCCCTTCGTGCCGGAATTGTATGTTATTATGACGTAGTTGTCGGATAAATATGGCAGAAAGTTAATTACGATGGCAATTATCCGCTAAACTTTAAAATTTCTTATCTTTATAATAATCTCCGGTTCTTTGATAAAGTTCGCCGATTTATATTGTTGGTTGCCACGAGATGTCTTCGGGAAATCTTAAAGACTCGACGTTGCCGCTACCTTTTGTGTTAAAAGACGAGACTTTTTGGACTGTTTTAACCTTTTATTCGGGATTTTTTGGATTCGCGCGCATATTTTCATAATTTTCTAAACCCGAGATTCGAGATGTTTTTGGAAATAGCTCGATTCCCTCGGGAAATTAACCGTAGACTCTTATAAAACTAATAAAAATTAATACGTCTACGTCGTATATTCGATATTTTTAAAATAAAACAATAACTTAATTAATTTATAAGCTTCCAGAATGAATAAACAACAATAATTTCTTTCCCTTTGATCGTACAGTTTTTAGGAATTAAAACAAGAAGAGTTAAATTATCTATAGAAGAGGAATTTTGTTTTCACGCCATTTTAAGAACAATTGTAGATCGATGGATTTGCACGAGACAGTTAGTTGGATGGTCGACGAGAATAAGTTTCCTAGTTTACAGTTTCCAGCCAAGGCAATAGTTTCAAACTTAGAACAGACCGTTTGGGTCTGTTCTAAGTTTGAAACCATTGCCTTGGCTGGAAACTGTAAACTAGGAAACTTATTCTCGCCTGTTATGAGATTAGAGAAGTTCCTTAGACAGATTTATTTAGATAATAGATTTGTAAATCAAATATAAAATATATTTAAAATCGCTTTTATTGGTCGGTCATTTGAGATTGGAGTGGGGAGGGTTAGGGTTACATCACAATCCTACATTCGGTTTTATTTAATCGGTTTAGAGGATGGTTGGTGGGAATGACGATGAGAATGAAGAGGACGATGGTGAGATGGGAAGATAGTAAGAGTGGTCATCCCTTAAAACATCATTAAATGCATTAAGCATGTCTTCTCTTTAATTAGAAGCGGACAAAATTTGGCTCTGGAGATTTGAGGACAAGTTATATAAAATAGTTTTCAATTTTCGCTTATCTTCTGAAGAATGTAATATTTTTATTTTTCTTTTTCAATTATT